AAAAAAAAAAAAAAAAAAAAAAAAAATGACACAGTAATAACAGTGTCACAAATTCTGAGATAATCTTAACACTAGAACAATCAGAGTACAATGAACAATTTGTAATCTTTCATAGAAATTTCATACATTTACATCTGAATTTTCATAAATTTGTATTCCTTAGCGTGTTACATACACTTCATTGCACTTTCATCCCTACAGATACAGATCTCGTGCTTTTGGCGTTAAAATTATAGAAATAATACTTTTCACATCCACCAAAATAGCGACGAATTTTTTTCGATGAATGTCGCGCAAACGTCGAAACATCGTGCGACAGTATTCGATTGGAGGAGTACACAAAGAACTGTATTTTCACGGAATTGTCCGGACAATTGGCATACTTAACAAGTTTTCTCGCGGATTCTGCAACGTAACGTGAAATCCACAGACAGAATGTCGATAGAGAAAATTGACGAGCTCCGCGCGACATTTAAATGCAAACCGGCGGATATCTCGATGCGGCGCAATAAATAAGTTGCTTGTCGAGTGATCGGGAAATTGTAAAAACTGATAAACAGGAATGAAATAATAGATTTCACACAGGCAGACAATGTATGCTTTTTCAAGTTTTACTTTTCTTTAAATAAATATCTGTAGTTTGCTGGTGATGTTTTAAAAGGAAAACGAAATTTAAGAGTGCGCCAAATGCAACTCGGACCTGAGAAATTTATATTCAGCTTGATTTCACGGAAGATATTTAAATATGTAGATTATCATTGGACCGTGAATATTTATGTAAATTCATGCTTTCACGAGAATATTGAATCCCTTGATGGACCAAATATTATCACACGTGTAACAAACGATATTTTCAATCGATGGACAAAATGAACCAGCTAGAACTTAACAGTCATTGTTGACGATGGCTAAGAATTAGCCACGAGAATTTCCACAAGATTGCCCGTCAATCTAATTATGATTCTGAAACACTGAAAACCTACAACGCGCACAGTCTTAATTACCGTTTAAATTTCAAAGAAACAGGCTTCATTTGCAACAATGGAGCGAGTGTTTTAGCAGAATCCATGCGGAATGCCAGCCACGTTTCCAATAACTCGCGACAGTTTGGCAGAGGTAGCGACAAAGACCGAAAGTGAAGAAAGAGATAGAGAGAGAGAGAGAATAACAGAGAAAAAAGAAAAGGAACTTTTGTTCAACAATCAACTCTCACGAGACAAGACAATGCAATAAAAAACGGTCGTTTCATACGAGAAGGAAAAAGGAAGAGAGGGATGCCCGTCCGTAACACACACGAAACTGACCCAGAGCATTCGTAGAACCAGGCGAATAAAAGCGA